ACTTGAGTCTACCTGCTAAACATATCTATACATAGTAAGAGACTCTCATAATTTACTAGTTTGTTACCATGGATCAAGGCACACCATGTAATGTTCATTGTACATTTATATATACATGAGTTTGTGACCCATATAGGTTACACCTTCATTCAAGCGGATAACCTAACATACTTAACCTCATCAAACATATGGACTTAGATCAATCCAAGCCCATTTAATTGAGTGAGACACCTTGATTGTCGGTTGGTTGATCCATGACCGACTACAAAGAATGATATAAGGTAAGTACTCGGAAAAATGAAAGAATGTCACAATTCTCTATCTCGTTGTGAAGGAAAATTGCAAAATGAAGTTAAATCTTGAAAAGAATGAGCAATATCACATTTCGATGTCTCGATTGTTCATCATGCTTTCGAGTCTTGAAACTTACTTTGTATACGACTATTAGCTCATCACAAAGAGACATAAAGTGTATCAAAAGACAAATATATAAATAGGGGATCAACCATGTTAGATAGAATAAAAATAGAAATAAAAGTCTAAATTTAGGGCTTAATATTATTGCTAATATTATGGTGTAAAATTATAGTATGTAAGCTTGGTTGATCTTAGGCAGTGTCGAAGTCACTTGTGGACCAACCGTAGCAAAATTTGGGCACCACGTGGTGGTGAGTCCCACACTCGTATTTATATTTTTGTAATAGGACATAAAGTTCTGCATGATAGAATAAACACCCATTTTGTGTCTCGTTCGTTCGATCATCGATCCTAGTTTAGCTAGTTGAAAACTAAGGTGTCTCACTAATTTAAATATGACCAAATTTATAGAGCCAATGTATTTGATAAACTCGAACATGTTTTGTCTATTTTGGGTTGACCCATAACTTTGACCTTAATTCATGAAATAGTCAGGTGAGGGCATTGATTAATATGGATGACCTTTGGAAACATGTGCGACGAGAATAGTTGACCACTTGTTGTCTATCCCTTGATCGACGATTCGATGGGGGGTCGATCCGTATGAGATACCTTTAAATTTACTTTCCAAATTTTTACAGTGACAATGAATTAGTTGACTTGAATTAAATTTTGAGGCATTTTATGTTTGCTCGAGTGATTACAAAGTAAAGAGGGAAAGTTCACTTCAATTATTTTTTTTGTGCATAAAGACGAGAAAATTTTGAGTCCTCAAACAGATTTTAGATAGGGAACTAACCAATCACAACGAAGGGTCTGTCCACGTGTCGGTACCAGAGGCCACAGATTTTAGATAGGGAACTAACCAATCACAACGAAGGGTCTGTCCACGTGTCGGTACCAGAGGCCATCTTCCCAAACTGTGATCGCGGATAAACAAGCCATTTCTGAACATAGAAAATGGCGAATCCAAAAAGAAAATCTCTGCAAAGACGAGGGATCGAAAAGTCGTTTGCAGCGGCAACTCCTCGACGGCCATTTGATTGGGGATTCCTCTCTCTTTCCGGCGTCGATTCTCAAGTTTGATTGAACTTCTGCTAAGAAATGGCAGCCACGGCCTCTCCCACAGCGGCCACCGCCGTTCTGAGACCTTCTCTGGCTGCTCCGCAACCCACTCGCCGCTCCGCCATGCCGCTCCTCCCACCTCGATTCGGCTCCCCTGCTTTCCCCACTTCCCTCAAAATCTCCTTAGGTAACTTTCTCGTAAAATCTTATTAATTTTCTTTTGGGCAATTCGTCGAACACATTGTGTGCAAGATGAAATTCTCGGTCTGTTTTAATTTCTGATGTTTTCCTTTCTCTTTGGGTATCTTCTTAGTTGGGTCTTGAATTTTGGAGCCTGGTTGTGTGTGTATCATTCAGTTCATGAAGATAATTTGTCCCCGTGATTTGAGCCTGAACTTTTTTTAGTTTTATAGTTCATTCAATTCTGGCAACTCAACTGCTACACGATTGAGTGCGTTAAGGTTGCTGGTAATCCTGCGTTATGATAAAGTGGATTAAGGTGCTGTGATTTACATTCGAGACCTTACACATGAAATTTTTCAAACCAGTTTCACACATCATACATCTATAAACTATGCTTACTTTCAAGAGAAGCCTTGCGAATCTGTGAATTTAGAATGAGTTTTGATGGGCAAATGCATAGGTATATGCTTTCCATTAAATATCTTAGATTTGTATAGCTCATGGAACTTCGGTTTTAGAGAAGACATGTAACAGCTCAAGCCCACCACTTAGGGAGAGGTTTTCACACCCTTATAAGAAATGATTCGTTCCCTTCTCCAACCAATGTAGGATCTCACAATCCACCCCCTTGGGGTCTAGCGTCCTACTGGCACACCGCCCGGTGTTTGGCTCTGATATCATTTTTAATAGTCCATGCCCACTACTAATAGATATTGTTCCGCTTTGTCCCGTCACGTATCGTTGTTAGCCTCACGATTTTAAAATGTATTTAAGGAATGCTTTGTTCCCTTTCCAATGTGGATCTCAAAATCCACCCTCCTTGGGAGCCAACGTCCTTGCTGGCACACTGTCTGGTGTCTAGTTCTGATACCATTTGTATTAGCTAAGTCCATCTCTAGTAGATATTGTCTGCTTTGGCCCGTTATGTATTACTATTAGCCTCACGATTCTAAAACGAGCTTACTAGGGAGAGGTTTTCACACCCTTATAAGGAATGTTTTGTTCCCCTCTCCAACCCATGTGAGATCAAACAAGATATGTTCAACTAATTCAAGGAAATCAGAAAAAACTTCATAATTGGCCGCCTGCCCCCATCTCATAGAAAATTGTTGGAAATGAGGTCTGTAGTTTAAGAACATGGTTCACTTTTTGCGTGATAAAAATTGTCGTTTTATCGTTCATTGCTATTTTTGAATTGTGAATTAGATCATTTGTCACTGAAATGTTAGTTTCTTGATTTAGACCCCTTTAGATTCAAATGGGGTTTTCCCAACTTACCATTTGGTGACAGAGTCTCGTAGATCGTCTCTGCTTCAAACCCGAGCCTCATCTTCAGAAGAATCATCTGCTGCTGATGCCTCTGAGCTCTTTACAGACTTGAAAGAAAAGGTTTATTATTCTTCATCATTCATTTTATGGTCTTTTTTGTTTCTTATACTGTCTCTGGGATGAATCTAAGAACTAATGTCATATTGTTTACTAGTGGGATGCCCTTGAGAACAAATCTACGGTACTTCTCTATGGAGGTGGGGCGATTGTTGCTGTATGGCTTTCTTCAATTCTTGTTGGTGCAGTCAATTCAGTTCCATTGGTAAATGATTCCATCAAGCTCATGCTTCTGCTCAAGTATTTATACTTCCAATTTGTTTCTTCCCCTTCTAAGCCCATTTGATTCTCAATCTTCATCTATTCTCACCAGCTTCCGAAGATCCTGGAGTTGGTCGGACTTGGATATACAGGGTGGTTCGTGTACCGATATCTACTCTTCAAGGTAAGTAGAGAAAAGAATTAAAACCTGTTTCAAATAAGATTTGTCGAGCAATGTTGGGAGAAGCAAGGTAAGTAGAGAAAAGAATTAAAACCTGTTTCAAATAAGATTTGTCGAGCAATGTTGGGAGAAGAATCCCACGATAGCTAATTAGCTTTATAAGGAATATGTCTATTGGTATAGAGGCCTTTTAGGGAAACCAAAAGTAAAGCCATGAGAGCTTATGCTCAAAGTAGACAATATTATATCATTGTGGAGGTTCATGATTTACAAGGTCTGTAATCAATGATTAGCTCAAAGTAGACAATATTATATCATTGTGGAGGTTCATGATTTACAAGGTCTGTAATCAATGATTACATAATTTTAATGTTTGATGCTTTCTCAAGCTTCACCCTTGATGAGATTTTGCTATGGTTTCTAAGTTGTTCAAGATTAAAACGTTCGTAAGTTCTTGTCACATGTTTCTAAAGAGATTGTCTAATCTGATCCAAAACATAATTGGATGAAAATGGCAAATAGAATCTGAGAGTTCTTAGAAACCATAAATGTAATCATAGCTCTTGGTTGGTTCTGCAAACTGGATATTGACTTGAAGAATGTTTGTTTCTTCTTGCTTCCTCAGTCAAGCAGAAAGGAGCTAGCTGATGACATTGAAGCATTGAAGAAGAAGATTGCTGGAGCAGAATAAGATGCGTGTTATCGGGCGCCGTGTTTCGACATGCTTGGTTCCTCTTATGAATCATCGAGCAGAATAAGATGCGTGTTATCGGGCGCCGTGTTTCGACATGCTTGGTTCCTCTTATGAATCATCATTTTGTACTCTATTCCACTTAGGTTGTAAGAGGCAATATGTCCCCTTTTCTTTGTATCTGTATAATAAGATTTGTCAAGTTCATTAAATGGAAACAATCCCTTTTTGCTCAAAACTTATTTCTTGCTTCAGAAAAAGAAAATGGTAAAATTCATTGAAAATGGAGCCGAGTTGAGTTCACTGGTTGACCACATATGAGAAAAAGAAAATGGTAAAATTCATTGAAAATGGAGCCGAGTTGAGTTCACTGGTTGACCACATATGAAGCCTGCACATAACATCCCTTTGTGACAATTATATAGGATACTCACTCACATGTCTCATACAAACAATTAAGATAAATCGCTTGTGACAATTATAAATAAGAAAATATGCTTGCAAATTTGTGCATTAAAAAAAATCTTCAAAGCAAAACCACAACAATTTGAATAACGTGATAAAAAATAATTTTTCTAATCCTTCTAACATTAACCCACTTAACTTAACCAGTATTCTTCAAGAAACAGTTTTCAGAAACACGAAATGAAAACAAAATCTTTATGGCATACTTCTTCATCAAGCTTCTTCTAGAAAACAGTGCTCAGAGACTCGTGAACTTCCATGACATAGTAATTATTACCCAACTTTGGCAGTGACAGTTCTCATAGAAACAGAACAGTCAAATTTCTATGGCTACCAAAAAGATCTCAAAGATTTAGGATACCAGAATTTCAGGTTGCAAATGTTGATGATAAGTAGTATCGAGAAGGAAAGTAAAGCAATATCCAGAGAGATTTTAGTATAACATAATTGAGATCCAAGTATTAGCAATAGAACAGTTTTTTACTATCACATCATCTTCTTTGAGTCAGGGAAGGATGTCAAAAGGGGAGCCAAGAAAAAAAAGAAAAAAAAAAGGACGTACAAAAAATTAGATGGTTAGACAACCTACACAAGATATAGTTGGATAATACCTTTCGATCCTTTAGATACAGAACAGAACAGAACGTGGTTGGGGTCGGTCAGGGCCTGATGGTAAGTTCAGCTCTAAGATGGAGGACTCCATTTATGAAGTATAGACTATCTTCGGCCATGAAAGAAGTCCATGGTATTGCAAACAAGTTTCTATAGCCAACAGCCTTGCCTCCAGTGAATGTGTAATTGCCCTTATATTTGCTAACAAACTCCTCTGTAGGCTTTGATCTTGCAGCAAATTCATAGTCTACTGCAAAAGATACTGATCCTTTTTCCTGCATTCCCAAGAAAAGCCCAAAACAGTGAAATGAGCTCTGCTGGTCCATGTTGCAATGAGCTGAAAGGAAAAATCCTTGTCCACCCAAGTGGAATGCCTGAGAATACACTCTCCCAGACGGAAACAAATTTGTACATTCTTCCCGCTTTAGGTCCAGGTATACTACACACTGCTGCCGAGGGCAATCAAACTCAACAACCTTGACTGGACGGTATTTGTATGCTCTCTCAATAAAGAATCGGCGGTTTGAGGAAGCCGACTCATCCGCAGCTATGATTCTCTGCCGGTGAGGGGCCTCCGCCTTGAAGAAAAGGGCCTCAAGCACAAGTTTGCATGCAACCTCATGGTCGAAGTCATTGCAGGTCAGAACTTTCTTAAGCTTTCGACAAGTCATAAAGGGGAATCGAATATAACGTGCAAGTCTGGCCCCCAGCACTTCTCGCCTCTCGTCCAACCTTGAATACTGAGCTCTAGCCCACTTCAAGATGAAATCGTATACTGCATCCTCTGATGCAACCTGTAGATCGTCACTACACAATATTGCCTCCACTCCTGCAAGAGGCAAAGCCATAACCTCATCCTGGTACCTGGTCAAGTACAAGAAGGAAGCCTAATTGAGAAATATCCTCCCTCCCAGTAGACCCGAAACATGACAGACACAAGGGGGGAAATCGGTAAAAAGCTGTAACAAATGATTGCTGAAGAAACAATCAGAATCAAAATCCATTATATCACAAATATAGTCTAAAGGTTGTCTCTTGTCTTAATGTCTAATTTGATGGTTGGATAAACAATCGAGCTTTTTCATCAAATTCTTAACTGAATGTTCAGTTCATGATATACCATTGAGATGCAATGGATAAATTTCAACCGTGCACCTCTCAAAACTCTTATCTATTCTCAGTGAAAATGTGCATATTCACAATGCAAAATTATGTGAATTTAAGGCAATTTCTTGTAAATTATGACTAACTTAGTGAGGTAGGACCACAAGTCCCAAAAGATAGAATATCCACAAAAAAGAGAAAAAAAAGTATTAAGTTGAAGGAAACACTCCATTAACAAAGAAATGGACATGCTCTAACTTCCAACTAAAGGGATAAAACAGAAATAATTGGAATATTTCAGCTCCATTCACCAAGCTTGGTTTAGGCCAAAAGTTGGAGGCGGAAGCCCAAACATCTACCACTACCACGTACTACTAACATGTAGGATCCAGATAACAATTTTTCCCTGGTTACAATTATTTTGAAAATTATTTGATTCCTTCTAAAGGGAACACAGCCTTGAGTAGAATCCTTCAAATTGACATTCCCCTCAAAAACTTCCCTCTCCCCACCACAAACAAAGATTAAAAACTGGAAAATAAAAAGAAAATTAAGGAAAAGAAAAATATCATTGTATAACTTGAGAGCATCAGAAATTTACTTGGTTATGTCCTTGTAGCGAACAGCAAGATACTGCTTTGCTGCATCAGTCAATGGTTGGACTGCTTCAGCCATTAAGACACTGGATGGAAGCTCTAGATATAGCAATGCAGACTCAGGTGTCATCGGTAAATTTCTTAAAAGTCTGCTGCAATACCTCATGCATGAAGCAACCTCAAATTTGTCGGCGGCCATAAGAACATCAAGCAAAGACAAAGCAGTGCTACAAGATAGGGTATTGCTATACATAAAATTCAGCAACTCCATTAGTGCAGCTTCCTCTGTATGGTAGAAGGAAAGAAAATTATAAATAGTATGGTCTGTAATAAAGAATAAGATGTACAGAAAAGAGAAAGAGACAATGAGTTTTTTAATGTATACCTGAGGCATTGATTCGTAAGGTCACATTCCGCTGTTCAGACTCCCTCATCCCATTAGAGAAAAGCTAGACAGGAAATTATTTCTTAGATAAGAGTAAAGGATTTATAAACGACAGTTCCTACAAAAATTTAACAAATAGAAAAATTAAAATATTCCTATATTGTATAAATATATATTAGCTTTTACCTTGTAGAAAAAAGGGCTTTTAGCAGCCAAAATTGGAGAGCTGATATGCAACGTTTTGACTTTAATAACAGTAGAACAATCCATTCCCCAGCTTGATTCATCGCCATTTGCAGCTTCATCACCTTCAGCAAATGAAAATTTCAAGACATCTTATTCTAATAATCTAATGATTTTAAACAGGATGTCAGCTCCATTTAACATTTTCTTTGGTGTAAGCAAAATAATTCCCAAATATAGATCAATGTTACATTTTCGTAAGGATTAGAACCACGCAGAAGAAAAAATTCAAGAAAACTCATTTTGATTAGGCAACCTAAATAACATCAATAAGTTAGCTTCCTCATCTGTATTGTCTATACCTGAATGTAGCTCTTCAATCATTTGAGCAGGCTCACCATCTAGATTGTCACAAGGTATGCCATCATCCATATCAGGATGGCTTCCATTTAAGACTTGCTCCTCAGGGCATCCATTTAGATCGACAACTGCAAATAAAGTTGATCATAAAGAAACAAAGTTTGAACAAAGAAAGGAACCAATCCTGAATACGTACAAAAGGCCATATACAAGAATAATGAAAATTACAGGGTCCGCGTCCAATTAACGACAATGTAACATAGAACCAATACACAGTTTGATGGGTACATAAAGAAACTTGCTCGATCACAGTTCAGTTCAATCAAAACAACAGAAAGACCAACCAGAGCAATTCTTATCAAAGTAAACCGATGGTTTCAATTTCAAAGACAGCAAACAAACATAAAATTATGACGTTTTAATTATACAGGTTCATTCTATCTAAACATCATATAAAAAGGAATCCTCTTCGACAAAATAACATCCCTTGCCGATATACCATTGGTTGCAGTGGCAGTAATTCTCTATTATGCATACCATCAAGCTAGAAATTTCAGGGCAGCTCAGTTCTCATTATCTTAATAAAACAACATGAACCATTGTCTCCATTTCCTATTTCACCTTGCAAACAAATATGAACAATTCCAACGTCACCTTGAAAACTGAGGCCAGCGTCATTTTATTTTCTGCAATCACGACATAATTACTCCTGTACCAATCCACTTCGTCATTTTCCTCCCCAACCAAATAGAGTAATCTCTCCGTTCCCCAGACAAGAAATGAAAGACTTCAACGATTCCAAGTTCCCGGTCGTTCCTCAACACCACCGATCAAACAAAGGCAATTTCTAGGCCAAAAGACAAAACAAAAGGTAAAATAGGAAAATTAGAAACAAAATTTACCGTTATCCTTCTTACAATCTTCTCTCCGTCTCTTCCGTCGAGCCCAATCGAGGATGCTCGTACATCCCACAGAATCTGGACGGGCCTCTTCCGGTTCCCCCATAATCTCAATCCGAAGCAACCGATCAGAGAAATTACTATCGTTAAAAGCGAATCCAAAATCCGCGTCGGATGGTGAAGAACAAGAGGCACGCGAATAATCCGAATCCATCCCAGCCGTTGGGTCAAAAACATCCGAATTCAAATCCTTCATGTCTACAGACCACTGAAACCCCCCCC